GGAGCCAAGCTCTCCAAGGTAGCTTTGCCTTGCTCTAAAGCTACTAAAAAGTAAAACTACAACTATTAGAAGTGAGTGAGGTAGTGGTGTGTGAGGTGATGCTCAAGTGAAGTGTGTGAGTGAGAGGGGGGTACCCCTCTATTTATACGGGAGCCTAGGCGGTGCTTCATCTATTCCTGGCGCGAAACCCCGGGCTACACCACCTCAGCATGGCGGCATGCCACCGCCACAGCAAGGGGTGACTGAGCAGCGCCGGCAGGGGGTTGCCCCCCTAGGGGTCGGTCACCCCCTAACTAAGCCACCTCGCCACCGCCTTCGCGTGGCAGGCCTTGGGCTGGACATGGCTCCATGGGGTTTTGCCCCGGTTGAGTTGATTTGATGGGCGCCTCCGTTGTTCCTTTGTACAAATCAGCGTCGGAAAGCGCCTTTCGATGAATTATTCCATGTATTTATGTTTGTGACCTGCAAAATAATGTTCTTCAAATACATGTGCAACTTGGTTAAAAGCAAATGCATATGTGTTTAAGATTGTCAATTTCTCCTCTTTTTTTTACCTTAGTTGGCGATCAGATTTGATCGTTAATGACTGCCAACACTGAGGAGGACACCACGACCCGAGTGGGGAATTTTTCTTTTTTTTGGAGGCTGGCCCGCTGACAGCGTAGGAGGGAGGCAGGACTGGGAGTGGCGTCCGTCGGAGCGTTTCCATTTATTTTTTCCTAGCGTGTCTATTGAGGATTATTGTGGAGATCTCATTTGGGACCTCCGGTTAGAATATCTAAGATTTATTCTTTTAGCGAGATATATATTTAGCTGAAACCAAATTCTTGTTTTTAGGGTGGATGTGCCAAAATCTATCTGTAGAAGAAGTTTTGATGATTTGGGAACTTTACTGACCAAGCATGAAAATCAGGACTGATTTCTTTAGTTTTAACAGGTTAACACATCTGGATCTGGTACATGGGATCATTATTGTTTCCTTTGCATGTTGTCTTTCTTGATGGCGTTTTCTGCTCGACTCGCCTGTTGCTCATCTTCAGTGGGGTAATATTCTTTCCCTTATGATATAGACTTTTGCTTGCGAGAAAATTGCATATTTGAGACTTCAATCATCGCGCTTCGCAGTTGGGATTTTCTCGCAAGCAAAAGTCTATATCATAAGGGGTTCACCACAAATTATTTGCTCTCAAGCAAAAGTTCTCCAACAAAGAATATATCATATGGGGTTCATTTTGGGGGTTCACCACAAATTATTTGCAAGAGAGGTTCAGTTGGAGAGCTTATGCTTTGGCAAAGAATAGAAGGTGATCCCCCAAAGTCTATATCATAAGGGGTTCATTTTGGGGGATCACCACAAATTATTTGCAAGAGGGGTTCAGTTGGAGAACTAATGCTTCGACAAAGAATAGAAGGTGAGTTCCCCACTTTTTCCGTTGAACAACTCCAGACAATTTGTTGCTATGAAATATTATGGCCATGAGTAGAACCAATGATTGTTGTGTAGATAGATTACCACCAAAGCCGATATGTAAATATTGTTCTTACATGACTGAAATTTCGTTTGCTCAAATTTGGATGTTTCTGAAAAAATTTATGTCCCATTTATATCTGCTGAACAACCTCCAAGTGATGCTAAATTATAAATATGATTCATGAAACCTATTTAAAGGACTACTTAAGTTATATTGGCTTCACAAAGTTTGGTTATTCTAGATAAAAAAAATATGACACTAAGATTACTTTGGAGTGGACATTCCTATTTTTGAAAATTTGTCTCATGGACCATAAGCATAGGGCCTGTTTAAGTGATTCGCAAGGATGCCGGAATATGAAATGTTAAATCGATGCTGCATGTCATATCTCACTCCAAACTTAAGCTTTGCTAATGCTAGCCGTCATCATGCAGTAATCTGCTAAGCAACGGCACTAGATCTGGCAGCATGAACACATGTATGACGCCCACAAGTGATGCTGAGGGATCTGCAATATGGGTAGTGCACAGATCGAAGACTCTGAATAAACCAATTTTGTGGACTGCAGAGATAGCAAGGTCACAGTATGGCGGTCGGAGCCTTATCATTTTTCACCAAAGCATCATCATGTCGTTAGAAAAATACTACAGCTTTTGTCTTTCACTAAACCATAATAATTTTGGCTGCAGTGGTTATTCAATTCACAGTTATCCTAATCCTTGCTTTTTTCCCAGGTTGGTTCCGATAAGCTCTGTTTGTGTGAGTGAAATGCAATGATAACTTCAGTAGGGTTGCTTTGCTGAATATATTTTTTTTGAGGGAAGCTTTGCTGAATATATTGCCAACGTAGTTTGTATGTCAGGTTTATACCATTTTATTTTCATCTCTATAATAGCTTCAACGGGTTCCTTTGCTGAACAGAGGTTGCTATGTAGGTTTGTATGTTTTGTTTTATCTAAGTGTCCTGTAAGGGAAATGAATCAGCACGATTATGTTCAGATCAGTGTAGTTTGCCATTGTTAGAAACAGAAATGGCTTAACCAGGATTAGTAACAATCACCCGTGCAACTAGGCTTCTAAAAAGAATTCAGCCCTGATTCAACACAAATACATTCCAGCAATGGTAATTGTTCCATTGCCACGATTTTTTTTTCTTAAGTATCAACTTGGATACTGTTTTCCTAGAAAATGGTAATGGTTGTTCACACTTGCAAAAGTTCGCTCTCTCTTTTTTAGAACTGAAATGAGAAATATTGTGAGATCATGTGAAGTGCAGCGTCATATGATGATCTCAAAGAACTTTCCTCTCTTCTCTATGGACCTTTTAATTTGGGTCCTCAGTCATAGGGGACTGCAACCTTGTTCGATCTGCTCAAGATAAAAAAAAATGTACAACAACAATTGCAATCCTTCCTTAGCTACTGCTTTCAATGAGACAATCCAGGAGCGGGTACCCGTCCTTGCTTGAAATTCACCTTCTTGAATCTTGATAGGCTCTTCACTTGTCGAATCAATAGACCGTACCCATCCTTGCTCGCCTTGACAGAGCTTTTACCAACTATGACTAGTATCTGGTCCTCCCCTCGTCAACAAAGTTAGCTCAAGAATGGCTCAAACGAATCCGAAATATCAAGCAACAATATCTAAGTAGTCAACGAACACACATATCGAAGTAGAAGCGCACACGTCTCAAAGTAGAAGCCAACGACCAAAAACATGGGTACCAGCACAAAAATCACCGGGAAAAATATAGTCAAAGAGTAAATTTCTTGATCCCGTTGTAATGCACGGGCATTAACCTAGTTTTCAATAAATTCCAATCTTAATAGAAAATATCTGTTACTTCGTAGCCAGAGGTTGTGCTTTTAGCTGGATGTTATATAAAATATCAAGTTGACAAACTAAATATCCAAGCTCCAAATTTATCTATTATTTTTAAGTGAATATTCATCTATCAATCTGTGCATGCGTGTCTGAAACGAGGTCAATGTCACTTCTTCTTTTTTCCCTTTTAACGGTGTCTTTCTGTCCACAGTTTTTGAACCAAATCTGCCAAAGATTCACGAAAAAGAAAGAAGCCAATCGGTGGCAAAGACGAGGACTCTCAATTAAAGAACAAGGAATATTGTAGGACGATAGAAAGAGAACCAAACTGTACGGACCGACCACATTCTTATCTTTCTGCGGCTCAAAATTCCCCAGTAGCCAGTTATGGAACATCACTTTTTCAAAGGTTCCACATTGTTGTCACACATATATATATATGCATATGCACGAATCACAGATATATACAAAGTTAGAAGTGAACCAGTTGACGTGTATCGACACACTGTTGCCTTGAATAGATCACTATGGCATCTTCTCTTTTTCTAAAAGCTGGATCGGAATAGGTCAGGATAGGTGTGTGATTAGCACAGCTTCCACTAGGTGCATGGTGACCCCACTGTTGGAACTATGGTTATCAACCACCTAGAGTGCACTTGCCAACGACAGGTAGGCTGTAGCCCTATGATTGTAAAATATTGCCCACAGATTTTATTTTTCCTGCGTTGAAACAGAGAAAGCTAAAATTTGTGATGTATATATGTTCACTTCGATTGTACTCCCTTTTAAATTATAAGTCATTTTAGCTTTTCTAGATATATATATTTTTTACTATATATCTAAACATAATGTAAATCTAGGTGCATAGTAAAAGCTACGTATCTAAAAAGAGCCGGAACGATTTACAATTTGGAATGGAGGAAGTAGATTCTAACTCAAATTGTGAACATACATTAAGTAAGAATTTAAGTTCAGAACTTCCATATTAGCCATGTACTCAATCCGGAACCGTGAATCACTTATCCTTGCTCCCCTTACCATCAATATCACTTATATATCCAAGTTTATGGTGCTATTGGTTCAGCAAAAGTAGGGGCCCTAATTTGAGGGCTCCTGCTGAAGAATTCTTTAAATCATCATTTGGAGAGAGTCCTTTGAATAAAAACTGGTCTCTATATCTTTTCACACTCCAACAACTTCTATATCGTGTGTGCACTCTAGAGAGCCAATCCCTCTTTTCAACATTAACTAGCGAGAAATCCAAAAGAGATGATTGCTATATTTGAAGATCTAATTAAATAAAATTATTGGAGGATATTTTTATCAAAGTCTTTATTCTTATTAACTAGGAAGAATATAAAGAGACTCTTGGAGTTGCTCTTAGGTTAGGCTTCATCGATCCCTGAGAAATCTGTAGGGGCCCGCTATCTCCAAAAGACATGCTACCTTGTTCTGTAAACATCAGAGAATAAAGACTAAGAAACCACAAAAGTATCGAATACGAGAGGCACAACTTAACAAAACTCGTCTGCATCTGGTATCACAATTTGCAATTCCAGAAAACCTACAGGCAACTGATATAAAAGGAAAAAAAAGTAAAAGCAAAATTTGATCAACATCATCGCCTGCCTTTAAATATTCAGTTGCTGGAAGTCCTACAGTGTACAATGGAAAAGACCACTGTAAGAAGTCCTACGTTGTACAATGGAAAATACCACACAGCAACTCCATTCCTCGAGCAACAGAAAACCAAAAACATTACAAGTATCTTTACTTGCTGTTGCTCTTGTTCTGTTGCTCTTCTTAGCCTCTCCTGTCAGCTCTTGCAATGAAGAGGAGAAGACCTCCCTCCTTGGGTTCCTCGATGGTCTCTCTCAGGCCTCTGCCCTCAACACTTCATGGAAAAATGACACAAATTGCTGTTTGTGGGAGGGCGTTACTTGCAATGAGGATGGGGCTGTCATGGATATCTCTCTGGCTTCTATGGGCCTTGAGGGGCACATATCACCCTCACTTGGCAATCTCACCGGCTTGTTGAGGCTCAACCTGTCCGGCAACTTACTCTCCGGTGAACTACCACCGGAGCTGCTGTTGTCCAGTTGCATTGTCGTCCTCGATGTTAGCTTCAACAAGCTCAATGGAGAGTTCCACAAGCTGCCATCCACCCAAGAACTGGCAATAAAGGTAATCAACATCTCAAGCAACTTTTTCACAGGATATTTTCCATCTGACACACTAGATGGCATGAAGAATCTGGCCAGTCTCAACATGAGTAACAATAGCTTTACCGGGAAATTTCCGAGCACGGTTTGTGTTGACAAGCCGTTCTTTGTGGTGCTTGATCTCAGTTGCAACCAGTTTCATGGTGGCATACCGCCAGAGCTTGGCAACTGCCCTGTGCTGAGAGTGCTTAAGGCTGGACAAAACCAATTCAGTGGGACACTCCCCTGTGAGCTTTTCAATGTCACCTCATTAGAGCACCTCTCATTGCCTAATAACCATTTGCAAGGCAAACTTGATCCTGAGCATGTAGTAAAACTCATCAAATTAGTTATCCTTGACCTTGCCGGGAATTGGCTAAATGGTGAAATCCCAGATTCTATTGGGCAGCTCAAGATGCTGGAGGAGCTTCACTTAGACAATAACAACATGTCTGGAGAGCTTCCATCATCTCTGAGTAATTGTTCAAATCTCACAACCTTCATCCTGAAGGGCAATAACTTCCACGGGAAACTCACAAATGTCAACTTCTCCACCCTACCCAACCTAAAATTTCTAGATTTTAGATCAAACAAGTTCAGTGGCACAGTTCCAGAAAGCATCTACTCTTGCAGCAACCTTATTGATTTGCGGTTATCTTACAACGAACTCCACGGTCAACTTTCATCAAGAATAAACAATCTCAAGTCCCTAAGATTCCTAGGTGTCTCTCATAACAATTTTACAAACATCACAAATACACTTCAGATCCTCAGTTCCTCTACGACTCTCTCTCTCTTAATAATGGGGGGAAACTTCAAGCATGAGACAATGCCAGACTATGATGCATTTTATGGATTTAAGAATCTCAAAGGACTTGCCATAAGTGACTGTTCACTGTATGGAAATTTACCAAACTGGTTGTCCAAGCTTAAATTGTTGCAAGCACTGCTTTTAAACAACAATCAACCAGTGGACCAATCCCAGCATGGATTAATACCTTAAACTTCCTTTTCTATATAGACATGTCGAATAACAGTCTTACCGGTGATATAACAGTAGCATTGATGGAGATGCCAATGCTTGAACAAGCCAAATCAGAACAAATTTTCTTAGCCACATCAGTATTTCCATTTCCTCTTTATCTGGCTCCATTTCTCCAATACCGTACGACCAATGGTTTCCCAAGAACAATCAATCTAGGCTACAATAGACTTACTGGTGTAATCCCACCGGAGCTTGGTGATTTAAAAGGACTGCTTGTACTCAACCTGAGCTTTAACAACTTATATGGGGAGATTCCAGAATCAATTGGCAACCTTGTGAATCTACAGGTGCTAGACTTGTCATACAACAATCTGACCGGCGCGATCCCTTCCACGTTGGAGACACTTCACTTCCTTTCCAAATTTGACATTTCTAACAATGATATGGAAGGGCCTATTCCAACTGGTGGTCAGCTCAGCACGTTTCCAGATAGTAGCTTTGTTGGAAACCCAAAGCTGTGCAGCCCTACCCTGGTGCACCTTTGTGTGCCCCACTGTAGTTCAACAAATGCAGCTGCACTTCCCATTGCCTCCACAGAACAGTACATTGACAAGGTCATCTTTGTGATTGCCTTTGGTATATTCTTTGGAGTAGGAGTTCTATATGACCAGATGGTTTTGTCCAGATACAACTGGCCCAATCTGGTTCAGCTGTAGTAGGCTATAATAACGCGTCCTCTGGCTCATGACTATGACATGGACAGTACTGAAGTAAGCAACAAATACCGTGTGCGTCGCGATTGCCATCAAAGTCTCCAAGCATGTCATGCATCACCAGCAGCAAGATCAACCTGATCTGAGTTGTCATGGTCAGAGTTTGTTAATCATGTTCTGCTTGAAATGGATATAAGTAAAAGGAGACGAAGGAATGGACTGAGCGATGGAGGAATAGAAGAATTTGTAATCAAACAATGAATTGAGTATGTTTAGTCCCAGACCAGTCTCAGGGTTATGTGTAACTTTGCGTAATGTTTCGCAAATTATGTAATGGGCTTTGCTATGATACTCCAAAATGACTGTGAGCCTGTTCATTTAATAAGATTGAATATGGTTAGAAACATATATTACTTTCTACAAAGTAATTGATGAAACATAGGTTTATTATTTTTTTAATTTTATAAAATAGGATTAAGAAGGAAAGTTTTAAATATAAAGATTTTTTTAGATTAAACAGTACGCTCACAACGCACGCACACTCAACCCCTATGAAGGCACGTACGCAAACCCGAAGACTGCGCTGGCAAATCGAGGCGCACCACTGAAAGCAATGCACACACACTCACCCCTACGAAGGCACGCACGCAAACTCTACTCCTATGAGCACATTCGAAGAAAGGGCCGACAAATCCCTGAGACAAGATTGACGAAGTCACCACAGACGTCTCTCTGTCGACCACCTTCGAAGACTGGGCCGGCAAATCCTCGAGACGAGATTGACAAAGTCATCACAGACGCCTCGTTGTCCACAGGAATGTCGTTTACCACTAAAAGAATAATGCCGTTAAATCGAACCCAGAACCTCAAGTGCTACTAAGGCTCTTATAACCATTACTCTATCTGTCCCAAAATAGAAGTCGTTCTCGCTTTCTTAGTATTTATAATACATAATTAGTATCATTAGATAGATTATTGAATATACTTTTATAATAAAATTATTTGGAGATATAAATATTGCATGTATTTTTTACAAAACCAATCAAAATTGAGAAAGTTTGACCTGCACGCATCTCATAACGATTTCTATCGTGGGACGGAGGGAGTAGGCTACATGCCCTTTCGCTAAAGATGTTTTTTAAGATATAATAGATACATACTTGGGAGGTAATAAATCTTTTTTTTGCAACTTTGATATAACAAAATTTAATTAGCATAAACTATATATTTTTATGCATGTAACCGGGCCGCACGGAGGTGCCAATAACTGAAATTAACTTTACGTGCGTACGTGCCAACTTATAGTATATGAAACCTTTACGTGCCTACCTGCCAACTTACGTGTCTGAGGACTGAGGTATATGAAATTTTACATGTGTATATAAGATTTTACGTGGTTAGTTTACGTGCTTAATATATGTTACAACTACGTGTTTTATTAGAAGACTCTTTTGAAATATATAACGTAGTTTTAAGTGATCAAGTATAATGTATACACTTTATTATTATGTAACGTGCTCAGTATATGTGACTAGTTAGGGATCCGCTTGGTCACACACAAAAGGAAGGGTGCGTACAGGAAAGGAAGGGGCCACGCGTTGTCTTGTGTCGACCGTGACCAGTGGATTTGATAGTTCGCCATGTTCGCTTATCAGTCATGGTACAATATTTTTCTCTCATAACAAAACAACATTAATCAGCTTATCAGCCACAGAAACCATCAACCGAACAGGCTTAATACGGATTATTTGTTTTCTTCTTTTCTTAGGTTATCTAAAAGTCTAAAAAAATCGATAGTTCAGATCTTTGCGATATTACCTCTTACAATAAGAGAGTATTGTAGTATTGGCCATGTGTAACACCTCTGTTAAAAACATAATGTCACGCAGTACTGAATTATCACAAAATGTGTAACATCTCTCTTCAACAACGATGTTATACACAACCTTCTCAATGCACTTCTTAAAAGAGATCTCCACAACGATGTAGAACTTTTTGTCCAAATTTTCATAATTTCCTCAAATCTTATGATAGGCGCGTTGTTGTATGCTGACTCAAATCCTACATGTAATGGGACTCAAGAGACGTGTGCTATATGACTTTTAGTTCTATTAGGACTGGAGTGCAGGATCCTCCTAGAAGTAGGACTCATACTTGCATGTATAGGGGGAGGGGCTATATAAACAAGGGTAAGCCAACGCTAAGAGTCTCATTCAGGACTTGTAAATTACAATTATGAGCACTCAAGAGGATAGCTAGACAGTTCTATCACACTAGATTCTTGTATAGAGCAAGAATTAGTAGGTCCTAGAGAGTTAAGTGAGGTTGTAAGAGAGCAATAATCACGTGTACTCCTTTAGAGTTATGTGTATAGAATTTATGGTCAGCTTTACAATCCTAATCTCTTATAGCCGTTGTTTCAACATTGCCATCTAGTGTTTTCTATGAGATTCATCGATGTTGTTCTTGATACAATGCAAGCTTGTGTCATACTCTCAATATCCTTCTTTCAAATATCTGTGTGTTGCTAACGAGTGTCCAGCGACATGGTTACATATAGTCCTTTGAGGAGCAATTATGTCATGAGAAATCTGGAAGCACTGCTCTGTCTCACTAATGTCGATGCTTCCCAGTACTAGCAGCGAGCATCCCTATCATGGATTAATGCTGCCGCAACTTTCGCTAGAATCCTCCAATTCATGGACCTCAATTCTTGAACATGAGTAATAAAAACCAACAAGATGAATATATAATACATATAAGGACTAGTCCGTTACTCGTAGTCCGCTGCATGGTCATGGATGCTTTCAAATTTTAATAATTAGCATTAGCGCTGAGCATATATAATAGACATCTCAAAGAGTTACATAAAACCACTTGTAAAATTAGTTATTGGCCAAAGTGTCCCAAAACCATACTCCACATATTTATGCATCCTTGCTCCAAAACCACTATGTCAAAATGCATATAATATACGTGTTATCAAAACGCGTCACTATTGCGATATCCGAGATGGGCCAAGTCAAAACACATATCTTGGATGCTGGCTCAAACAAGTCAAAACGTTTCTTGTTGCCAAACGGGGCCTTAATATTTCGTTGTTCCTCTTTGGCTATAAGTTATTTTACAGTGCCTTTAGGACATTTAAGAACACAACTTTACCTTTTCTCATACCATGAACATCGCCTTCGAAAACATAACCCAAGTCGACTATATGGTCAACTATTGACAAGAACACAAGTACAATACACAGCAACACAAGGAACGATATAGCGTGGTTCAGGTAGTGGACAAATGATAAAATGCACTCCTGTAGTCCTACTGATATCAATTGACAACCCAGCAAAAAACCAAAGCAAGAAAAGCACCTATCTCAAAAATTTCTGCATCATACTTCATATTTTCCACCTTCAGATGCAGCAGCATTCTACTGAAACCTTTCTTAACAACATTTCATGACAAGTGCTCACTAATAAAGCCACAGTTATCCTTCAGGTCAGTAGCAATTTATCACTTAAACAAAAGCAAATATAAATTTCATTCCAAACATAACAGAATTACATACCATCAGAGCATTCCAAAATGGCAAAATATACCCTACTTTGTGTCCTTTTGTTCGTAATACAAGGAGCAGGTTAAACCATCGTTCATTTCCCCGCTAATCTACGTGACAAGTTTATACCATCCTTGTTCTGGCTGATGTTAAAATATAGCTGATGCTCAAAAGTCACATGCTCGCACTCAGCTCTCAACACATTGCAATATTTCTGTGCCAAACAATCACTGAAATCCCTACAAAAGCAAATGCTACTCTGTAGCCTATAATTTGATTACAGTACCATATTACAACATACGCTACCATAGCAGCGCATATCACTTTCACTGAAGCTAGGCTAATGGTCCAGTCAAATGCATGCAAAATATTCCTAAGAGTAAATTATGTATATGCCATTGTCATTGAAGGGGTTAAAAATTTAAATCAATGGTATTGAAGGAAGATCAGTTACAGCGGTGGAATATCAAGGATTAGAATTTATCAGTGGCACATAAGGAATCAATCCTATTTCTAAATGATAACCTCACAATGGGATTAGGGTAAACTATTACGAACATATGTTAGACTATTTTCCTTTGCAGCTACAAACGGACATAGATGAAAAATACAAAATAAAAACTTTACCATAATGCTATATCAATGTTTCAAAAAGCACCTGTGTGCTCAGCAGGAAGTCAGGCTTCGCCAAGCGCATAGGTGATAGGTGTGCGCATTGCCTATGCAGACGTAGGAGACTGTAATTTTTTTGGCTAGTTAAGAGTAATTCATCGATAAACAGAGGAGATATGGCTTGCTAAGCAAGAAGAACTTGACATTACCACACATACGTTAGTTCCACGATTGATAGTTCATCTTCCTCTATCTTCATTTGTCGCATTTTTATTATGGATCAAATCCTAAACCACTATCAGAGAAACACCTAGACAAAACGCCAAGGCACTAGGGCAAGCGGCACTGCTCTACTTAGCGCCTGGGTGCCACCTAGCACCTCTCTTTGAAACAGAGATTATATCTATTGAGAGTAGGGGTGGGCAATTGGGTAACCCAAAAGGTTCAGGCCGAGTAATTCCAGTTTTTGGAAATTTGAGTTTCACATATTGGTACCCAATTTGGCATCTGCTAACCCTAGTGTTAATATATTTGCACAACACCCTTTCTTGTTTTCGCAAAGATGGGACTCAGTTCCCATTAACATTAATTAATGGGAGTCAAAGCACCACTACAAGTAATATTAGTGATTTTGTCAATGTCCAATATAATCCATGTCAAATTCTAAGTTAACCCATAAATGTCCTACAGCATCATTCTGACAAGTGGGATTGTTCATTATCTATTCAATAAATTAACATTTGGGATTGTTCAAACACAACAGCGCAAATGCAGAAATATTTGTAGCTATTATTCAAAGTAACAAATCTAAAGGTGCCTCAAGGTCCCTGGGAAACTGTTCTACAATAACTACATCCACAAATTCAATTGGTAGACCCAAGAGATATGGGAACTGAAATACAACACATAAATAACCTTTTATTTTTCCTACAATCGGTAAAAACATCCAAAATAGCTAGCTGAACAAAATCACCGCAGTTGTCCTTTTGTATTTACTGATGGATTTATCCATGCTTCTAGCTATAGTAAAGTCATTTACAGCTAATATGCAAATCTGAAAAGAATGATTGTATAGCTGACTCTTAACCAGCCAATTCTGCTGCATGACTTATTTTTATTAAGTGGATGAGAAAGCCAGTTTCAAACAAGAAATCCACATACCTACTCCTATATCAAATTTGTCCTGGTAAGAAATCTAATCTGATGCAAGTGAAAAAAGTTTAGTCTAGTGAGGAACCAGGCCATCACATTTTTTTCGCGAAAACACAGGGGACCTGAGTATCGTTATATTAAGAAGAAGGCCATCACATTTCAACACAAATATAAATAAATTATAGTATTAGTTCAGCCAAACTGCATGACAAGGTGACTCGGTAAGATTCAGAAATAGATGTATTTAAACAATGAAAAACAAGGCTAATGACAAGGATTAATAGACAGCAGATTAACATGAACTAAAGTATTATATAAGTTATAGCTTGTGAAAAAGTACTATCCTGCATGCTTCAATCATCAAAACAGTACTTTTCCAATAATAATTTACTTAACTTACAAGTTATTATGCAAATCAAGGAGAGCTCGATGTTATTGATGTCATCAACATATCATGAAAACAGTGTAATGTTCAAAAAGAAATTTGTAAAAAACACTATAGGATACAATACCCTTGTTGGTAAACAGATCTAATCTAAAATCTACATTATTTTAACAAAAGATATCCCACATTCAGACATTCTGGAGCTACATCCCCACATTCTTCCAATGACACCACTACGTCCAAGACAATCCAATGGACAATGGAGATAAGTGGTCTACGCTACTAAGTAAAGAATAACATATTATACTGATTCAATCAACTACAACAGGTTGATATAAAATAGTGGGATGGCACGCAATCCCTGAAACTCAATACTTATAAAAGCCTTGTTTAGTACCATTGCAAAATGATAATCCTGATCCGACAATTCTGAGTTGATGTCATACAACATGGTGCGATGTAACATTAATTGACATAACTAAAAGAGGAGTCCGCTACTCCACACTCCACAGCACGCAGATCCATTTAGATGTAGCGAGATTTTGCAGCGGATCTGGTCTAGTTAACAGGCAAGATTTTATCAGGCTCACCAAAGGTAGCCGGGGATCTTGATGCGGAGGAAGAGCATGGCCATGGCGTAGGCGATGACGACGGCGACCGCGCCGGCGCTTCCAAACGAGACGCGGAGGCTCCGAGGCCTGGTGCGGTCGACGGCGAGGTCGAGGAGGATGATGCCGACGCCGCCAAGGAGGAACATGAACCCGGAGGAGAGCCCCTCGATGATGTACTGGCCGTTGACGCGCCCCGGGAGGAAGACGACGGGGCGGACGGCGCCGGTGCCGGGGTCCTGGGCGCTGCCGATGCCGGGGGGCTCGACGATGACGTCGTAGACGAGGCCCGAGACGACCGCGAAGTAGGTGAGTAGGATGAGGGAGAAGACGGTCATGGGTGAGGGGAGCGCCAGGTTCGACGGCAGCCTCAGGCGGGTGCGCGGCGGCCGGAGGAAGGAGAAGGGGAGCACGCGGAGGACGTGGAAGACGGGATCTATGGAGTCGAAGTTGGCCTGCGTGGCCGCCGCAGCGGCGGCGCTGCCGGCGGCGTGATCCGATCTAGGGGGCATCGCGCGTGGAGTGGGAAGAGAAAATACGGGCCACGCCTGGGGTTTGGGCCTATTGACGTTCTGGCAGTCAAGGGGCGTTTTTCTACGAGACTTTTCTCTGCCATTATAAAAGATCGTAGTCCTGCCTGAAAAAATTCAGCGGTTTTTAGTGTGTATTCTAATTTTTTCGGGTCCTCTATGCCACTTCTATCAGTTTAGGTTCTAACACCGTCAAATTGCAGGTATGAAAAGACGAAAATGCCCTTCAGTTCAAATATGTTATTAATTTTTTTTAGCATCTTAACGACTTCAAATGAAAAAACTCAAAACTAGAAAGTTGTAGATCTCGTCGAGATCTATAATTTTCATATAAAATTTATTTTCATTTAATTTCACAAAAAAAATATGATTTGATATGATTAATATATCTTAAAAAAAATCATCATATTATTTTACGGAATTAAATAAAAATAATTTTTATATAAAAATTATAGATCTCGACGAGATCTACAACTTTCTAGTTTTGAGTTTTTTCATTTGAAGTCGTTAAGATACTTAAAAAAAATTAATAACATATTTGAACTTTAGAGTATTTTCGTCTTTTCACATCTGCAGTTTGACGACGTTATAATCTGAATTGATGAAAGTGGCATGAAAAACCCAAAAAAATTAAAATAAGACCGCTAAATTTTTTCAAAGTAAATTAGAATCTTTTATAACGTCACACACGTAAAAGTCTCTTTTTCTACCCCCGCCCCGGCGCACCCCTCTGCCCTCCGCTCCCTAAACCTCCTCTGCGCCCCAGCCTCCTCTGAGCCGCCCAGAGCTCACGTGCTCCCCGATGACGACGACCCCGCTGCCGCAGCGGCCCCCAACGAGGACAGGGAGGGGGAGGACCTCTACAACGACCACTAAATCTGACCCGGGGCTGGAGATTTCCCGGATCTGCTATGATTCAGGGTTTTAGGGTGGCTGGTTAAATGGGACCAGGGGATCTGGTAGATGTCATGGGTTGATAGGCAGATGCGATTGTTTTTTTGGCGTGTGGTTTGGTCAGATATCTGCGGTTTTAGGATTTGTTGTCATGATTTACCGCATGGTGTACGCAAATTGTGGCATTTAGAGAAGAAGAAATGGTCAATTTATTGACTGAATTTTCCCATTGTTGTTGAAAAGTTAACTAATTAGATTGTCCTAATAAACGTCATATGTTTAAAACGAGGGAGTACATAAATTGGGGAAGAATTTTGTAGTTGAGTAGGTAATTGTAGTGCTAGAGTAACTAAATGACAGGCTTAACTAATGTTTGTTGGATTGATGGAAATGAACTTAAATCTACTATGTTTTATTGAAAGCGGCCAACTTTAGTTCTTGGTCATGCATCTAAATTTGCTAATTTTACTCGTCTGGCGGAAATACACTAAACCCATCTCAAAATTTCCTAAATTGAAGTGCCTTGTGTGACTCTCTGTGTCTATAGTGGCAGATGCCCAGGCTCACCATCTTTGATGAGAGATTCGTGAAGTGGCTCTGCTGCCATGATGTGAATTTGTGTTCAGTTACACATTGCTATCAAACTAAAGTTACTGTATGTTTCCTAAATTGGGAATTTGGACTTGCACAGTTTGTTGCGAGGATCAGTTTCGTTTTTAAATAGTTTACAACGAAGACATGAATTTTTCATGATCGCAATGAATCCAATGTATCTAGCCAACACGAGCCATTCTATATATCTGCTGACTGTCAGTTTTGAAATTTTTTGCTTCCATATTCAGTCCTTTTTCCTTTTCCTGATTGCAGTGATTACCGAAGGATGGATGAGCATGATCAGTATGAGTCAGTTGCCTTAGATGATTCACTGGAGGATGACAGGAATCTTGATGAAATCATGGCTGATCAAAGGGCTGCGGAAGCGGAGCTTGATGCACGGGATGTGAGGTCTGGTGCAGCAGCTGACAGGAAATTGCCATGGATGCTCCGCGATCAGGGTAATGGCTTCAAGACAAGTTTTATTTCTGTAGGATATCAGAGCAAATTAGGTATTTATATTTTAAATTTATGCTCTTGATTAAACTACCACATGAGTATTTGGTATATGAACATATGTTGCATCTCTGGGCTCTGGTTCAGTTGCATCTGCTTCTTTTGTGATTGGTTTTACTACCACATCCTCATTTGGTGATTTCAGTGTGGTTAACACTTTGTGTAAAAATCTCATTTTGGAATATTGCATATTATACTGAATATTGAGTTGGACTATCTCCATTTATCAACTGTGTTGTAACGGTAAAATTGTATTTTATTTTTCTTCCACATGTAGGAGAGCTGTGTGCCATTTATGTCTCAACTGCAAATGAATTTGTTGCTTAGGAAGTTATTAATGTTTGTTTGAGTTCATGTCCATATAGAAAGCATACAACAGATATTAGCAATCAATCTTCGTTTCGCAGCAGTACTGATGACGCCTAGATAATTTTTTGAGAACTGATAGTTATAGATAAAGTGATTGCCTTAGGCGTAAACTTTTGTAACATATATTAGAAGTCCAAGATTTAGATGTCAGTTACTGTGAATTCAAAGCTCTTATTTTCCATGGTCAGATGAGGATATGAGTTTTTTTTCTCGAACATGCAGGAGCGCTGCGTATCATTATATTAAGAAGAGAGAAAGGTGTGTGTGGGGAGGGGGGTTAGAGCCCTCATACAGATCACACACCCACACACGAAACACTCAGTAGAACTAAAACTCACGCGCCTAATAAAGCTTTAAATACCAATCGGTGCAAGGGCAAGGAGATAAGACACAAGATATGAATTTTAGGCGTCCTAAAAGGCACAGGGCTAGTTTTTGTTGGTCAGGTAACACAAGTGAATTCTGGATCTAGTCATCTAGGAATAGATGGCAGCAATGATCATGGCTGCCGTAGCTTCATTATATAGCTAAAAGCAAACTTGGTTCACAAGAAGCTCCTCAACTACTACAACATATTCTTACTGCATAAAGCAGATACTAGGCATATTCCTATATGCTAAGATAGAGCTGAGTACAGCTTTAACAAAAAGTGATCAACTAGATAACTTAGAGAGAAGCACTAGGCTTAACTCTCAATTCTCCCCCTAAGCCTTGTGCCCAGCCTTGGAGGTGATCTACACCAGCCCAATCCTCCCCCTCATCTCCTGGAACTTGGATTTTCCTAGTGATTTGGTGAGGATGTCAGCCAGCTGATCAGAGGTGCTGATGTGGTTGGCCTTCACTGTCCTATCTTCCAAGCAGCTCCTGATGAAGTGATACTTGATCCTGATGTGCATGCTCTTTTTATGGAAGACTGGATTCTTGGCCAGAGCTAGAGCAGACTTGCTGTCCACTCTCAACTCCACTGCTTCGACTTCCTTACCGAGCAGCTCCCACAGAAGCCTTGACAGCCATAGAGCGTGTGTAGCAGCAGTGGTGGCGGCGATGTACTCAGCTTCACAGCTTGATAGAGTCACCACTCTCTGCTTGAGTGATTGCCAGCTAACTAGACACTTGTCGAGGAAGAACATGGTTCCACTCGTGCTCTTGCTTGTGTCGATGTCGCCGGCAAGGTCACTGTCGCAGTAGCCGACGAAGTGCGCCGCGCCGGGGTCCATTGCGTAGTGCAGACCGTAGTCGAGGGTGCCCACCACGTAGCGCAGGATACGCTTGCCAGCCTGCTGGTGCTCCACCGTGGGCCGCTCCATGAACCGGCTCATGTACCCGACGGCGAATGCCAAGTCCAGCCAGGTATGCACCAGGTAGCGCAGGCTGCCGATGATCCGCCGGTAGTGCGTTGGATCCACCTCCTCGGTTGTGCTATGACGGCTTAGCTTGAGCCGTTCCTCCATCGGGGTATGGGCTGGATTGCAGCCATCCATCCCGCCCAACTCGAGGATGCGCTTGGCGTAGTGCGTCTGGCGGAGGGTGATGCTGCTGGAATCCTGGCGCACCTCGACGCCAAGGTAGAAGTAGAGAAGCCCTAGGTCGCTCATGTTGGACGCCGTCTTCATCTGCGCCTTGATGGCCTCCACCCCCTTCTCCGACGCGCCGGTGATGATGAGGTCGTCGACGTAGACGCCGACGAGCAGGATAGTGCGCCCGCTGCCCCGTTGTTGGAAGCCCATCTCCTTGAGTGTGGCGTCCAGCTTCACGTTCTAGGCGTTGGGCCTAACGCAAGTCGTAGAGGGCCTTGCGCAGGCGGTAGACCCTCCCTTCTTGCCCGACGACAGCGAAGCCAGGCGGTTGGCGCACGTAGACTTCCGCCTTGAGGTCGATGTTGAGGAAGGCGGACTTGACGTCCATATGATGGACGCACCATCCTTACTGAGCCGCCAGCGCGTGGAGGACCCGGACCGACTCCATGCGCGCAACCGGTGTGAAGGCGTCGTCGTAGTCGATCCCCTCTTGCTGGACGAAGCCGCGTGCAACCAGCCTCGCCTTGTGCTTGATCATCGCTCCGGCTTCATCCTTCTTCAATTGAACACCCATTTGAGGGTGATGGGGCGGTGGCTGTCAGGCAGATCAATGAGCTCCCAGGTTTGGTTTTGCTCGACGAACTTGAGCTCTTGCTGCATTGCAGCGCACCACGACGGTCCCCTTCTGCTTCGGTATAGGTAGCAGGCTCGCTGGTTTGCGTCAGGTGGAGCTAGACATCGAGGTCGCGCTGCGTAGGGCCAGCAATGGCTGATCGCCGAGGATGTTACTCATCATGCGATAGCGCATTGGAGTGTCACCATGCGCGGCATCGAGTCAATCCTCGTCGTCCCCCAGCGGTGTGGCGTACTCGGGCACGGGCTGTCCGCCAGCAGTTAACGATGCTGCTGGCGTTGCTGGTGAAGCAAGAGCCGGCACAGGTGAAGTAGTAGCAGTTGGCGTCGCGGATGGAGTAGCAGGCGATGGTGCTGGTGGAGTAGCAGCCGGTGTTGGTGCGCCTCCAGGCCCCTCCTGGTTTGGTGACGGCGAACGCACCGGAGCTGGTGGCGTAGGCAACGTCAGAGCAGATGATCCGAACGCCGGTGGGGACACTCTATGCTCCCCCGAGCCACGTGTAGTCAACGACAAAGTCAGTCGCCACCGGTGCCGTGCCATCATTGCCTCCCTTTGTCCGGTCCCAGCCTCGTCCTTCTTTGAAGGCGACGTCGCGCGCGCATGCGCTGGGACACTGGGTCGAGGATGTGGTACGCCTTGGCGCCCTCTGCGTAGCTGATGAAGACGTCAAACTTGCTGCGGTCGTCAAGCTTGCCGAGCTCGTTCAGCTCCTTGACGTAGGTAGGGCAGCCGAACGTCTGCAGATTTCCAATCGCCAGCGTGCGCCCGTGCCATGCCTCATAGGTGTCTTGCCTTGCAAGCTCTTGGTCGGTGACCGGTTGAGAAGATGAACAACGGTCATCATGGCCTCCCCCCCCCAAAGTACACAGCCGACATGCCTCTCTGCTTGAGTAGCGTGCGTGTCGTTGCCACCATCGTCTAGATCATGCGCTCAACCACCCCGTTCTGCTGCGGCTAGTAAGGGGCGGAGAAATGGCGATGGATACCTTCGTCGGCGCAGTAGGCGGCGAACTCCGCGGCGGTGAACTCCCCGCCGTTGTCGGTGCGCAGCACCCAGAGGTTGTGGGCTGCTCTCCTCTGCGGCCGCCTGCACCTGCTTGATGGCATCCGCAGCTGCTCCCTTGGTTGGAAGGAGGACCACCCACATGAAACGGGACGCGTCGTCCACCAGGAGCACGAAGTAGCGCCGCCCGCCTATAGTTGTCGGCATCATAGGGCCACATAAATCGCCGTGGACAAGCTCGAGCTGCTCCTACGCACGGTAGAGAGCCTAACGAGGGAAGGGGCGCCTCCTCTGCTTTGTGAGGACGCAGGTGTCGCACAACTGCTCAATGTGGTCGATCACCGGCAACCCGCGCGCCACCACCCCCCTCCCACCCCCTCGCCTTGCCCAGCTTCTGCAGCGCCTTGAAGTGGAGGTGGCCGAACCGCTCATGCCAACGCCATGCTTCATCTTCCCCACGAGCGGTGAGGCAGAGTGGCTACGCGACCTCCACGTGAAGGATGTAGAGCCGGTTCGTGCCACGACTGACCTTGATGAGGAGACGACCGCGCCGGTCCCGAATTTGGAGGATGCTGTGGTCGATCTCCACCTTTGAGCTACCCTCGTCCAGCTGACCGAGGCTGATGATGGAGTTGCGGAGCGTCGGGATGTAGTAGACGCCGTGCAACACCCGGTGCTCACCGGTCTTGGCCGCGAACAGGATGGAGCCGACGCCTTGAATTTCCACCGAGGATGAGTCGCCGAACTTCACCGAGCCCCGAGCTCTGCGGTCCAAGTTGGAGAAGAGCTCCTGGTGCCCGGTCATGTGGTGGGTGGCGCCGCTGTCGAGGTACCAGCCTTCGAGCTTATCCTCGTCGGAGCCGGTGCCGAGGAAGACTCGTGTGCGCGGCTCGTCGATGAGGAGGTTGGCAGCGGCGGTGGGCGAGGCGATGAAAGTCGGAGCCTTCTCCTTTCCTCCGCCTTGTTTTCGGCTCGAAGCCGTGCGCCAAAAACAGAGAAGGTTCCTCCTCTGCTTGCGCCATGTGAGCTACGCCACCGCGCTCACGTCGAGGCTGGCGGCAGTCCTTGGCCCAGTGGCCTGTCCCGCCGCAGTTGAGGCAGGTGTCGTCGCAGGTCGCCTTGCGTTTGCCGGCGGCGGCACCTGCCTTGCCTCCTCGACCTCCACCACCGCCTGCTGGATCGCCCTTGGCCTTGTCCTTCTTGCGCGGATGCCGGCGTTGATCCTTTGGTGCGTTGGAGCCCTCCCCCTTCTTCTCCTTCTGCCGCGTGAGCCACTGCTCCTCGGTGTAGAGCAGCTTGCTGCCGATGGCGACCGGTTCGGTGGGAGGCGCCTCCTCGCGATCATCCACCGCCTTGAGCCTTCCCGTCACCTCCTTCATGGAGAGGTCCACAAAGTCGGAGGGTCTCCATCGCGAGAGCGATCTGGGAGTACTTCGGGACCACGCTCAGAAACTTCTCCACCGCTGCAAAGTCGCAGTCCTGGTGGAGCCGCTGCAGAGTCCCAGTCCTGGTGGAGCCGCTGCAGAGTCGCCCGGCGGACACGGTCAACGCCGATGCAGGCTGCAGCGATGCTTGCTTGGCGGAGGCCTTGTCGGCGAGGGTAGCTCCTAGCTCTGGAGGAACCGCGGCGAGGAGAGCCTTGAGCGCCCGCCATTTGTCGTGGAAATCGACGACCTCGCCCTCGATGGCGTCCCAGAGCTAACGGGCTTGCATCTTGACCTTCATCAGCAGAGACCACTCGTGGTAGTTCGTCTTGGTGAGCATTGGCCATAGCGTGCCCACTTCGGACTCCTTGTACACGGTC